ATGGACCCAACTAAGATGGCTTCCAATTGCCCCAAATCCATCGTATTGTGCGCCATCTCCAGTTCTCTTTCTTAGCTCAGTGGTTTAAACATGCACGATCGTGATAGCAAAAAAAAGTGCTTTAACTTAGCAGCGAATCGACTAAATGAGATTATTTTCAGATTCCAAACATTGACTTTAATTTCTTATCGAAAAAAAAACCCAGAGGGTTTCTATGTATTCGGGAACATGCTCTACGACCCGGGCACATCGTGCCACCCTGTATTTAGGGCACGGCTGCCACCGATATGCGGGTGTCACATTAGTCTGATCGCCGACGCGGTGAGGCCGTGTCGCGGAATAATGGGCTCTTTCATATAAGTCAAGGTGTAAGGAGTCCGCGTGTACCGATGTGATGTACTATTTGTACTCGTACTCGGACTGGCACGGGGGGCTGGGAGCCGGATTGTCGACTTAAATTGGGCCTGCGTGGATTCAAGGTCATACTCCCTTCGAGGTTTCGATTTTCGACGCTTCCTTACTAACCCGCAGAACGGGCGTGGGGGCACGGGAGGAAAAACGCGAGGCAGCTGGTTCTGCCCCGGCCTCTGTGCGGAGTCGCGATTTGCAGCCTGCAAATGCCGCCACTAAATGTCATTCATACATTCCGTGCCGACGAGCGACTTGGAATTTCACCGACGCGAGGGGATCCTCCCCCTCCCCCCGATCCCCCACCGTGTCTCGCTTGCCTCCATTTTCCTCCATTCGAGACGACGGTTGCGCGCGAGGAACGATGGCGTTCTCTATGTCGAGGATGCCTCTAAGTATGACTGGATATTCTCTTCGCTCGTTTTTAAGTAATTTTAAGTAATTGCATTACGCAGAAATGCAATTTATTTAATTGGATTCATGATTCCCTACGACTTGCCTTGTATTTTCACAGCCGATATTTACGAGGACGGATTTACTTTATCCGGTCAATGCTGGGAAGAAACCAGCGAGAAGCAGAACCGTAATGTGAATACGACTTGCTCCAAGTCGTTTTTCCACGTGTGCCTTCGTCAGGGGCGTGGACTCAATGACCCCACTCGGAGCGAAAGAAATGCCTCACCTTGTTCACTTGGCGCCTTGAGCTGAGTCTTCAAGGTCCGATTGCGGGTTCGATTTGAGCGTGATTGTGGCCGTGGGCGTCCTTTGCTTCCCCCCATGGTTTCTTCGGGTCGAGAAGGACTTGGAAGCTGGGGTTTCACAAAAAAAATTCGATCTGCGAAAAAAAAAAAATTCGAAACACGAAAAAATCACTTCAAGCCTCGAGTTTTGCAGATACAATCTATGTGAAAACAAGCAATTCACTTGTTGAGTCTCCACAACCACGGACAACCGCAATTGCAATATAATTATAGGGAAAATACCTTGGGAAGAGAACACTGACACACAAAATCGGCCGGAGCCACGAGGATTCCATGGCAGAAAGGGAAAGTCGAGGCCTGCCAAGGTCACGATCCTTCTCCGTGACGGCATTCTTGCTAGATTTGTTTGATTCCAGTCGCAGGGGCCCGTTTCCCCGTGGGCAAGCGCTGCGGCACTTCTTTCCTCGTTGTGATCGTGAGTGATGTGGCGTTCGGGGCGAACTGCACCAAGTACAATATAGGTTCACGTCCGTGCGAAAGACCGTGCGAGCCGATTTGCACGCGATTCACTGTTCATAAGTTAGATGGCGCCCGTGCGCATCGATGACAGCGCATTCGTCAAGATTCATGTGGTTCTTCCATGGTAAAGCATGGGCCTCGTGTTCAAGTTGGTACCCTGTCGCTATTTAAGCACAACCCGAAATGGTTCAGGAAGGGTAGTCCTAGGCCTATTGAATTCCAATGAAACTAAGAGTTTGCTATGAACCAGTTATGAGCCTGGCTGTAAGTAAATCTCGTCACTTTCGACTGGAAACAAGGTCATGCAGCTCGTAGGCCTGCGCCTAACTTTATTTGAATTCGCACGCTACATGCATGATATTAATATATGATGTGACTGTGTTGATCACTGCAGCGCCATATTTCATAATATTAATTGTAACAGTTTCTCTTGAAGCAGCATGAGCCCTTCTGATCTCCAGTTACTCTTCAAAATGTTTTAAATGGCCTAAGCTAGGGTGTAACAAATGCTTCTGAAAGCAAAGGCCCTATTGTCTCCCTGCTTTCCTAATTTATCTTAAGTAAAATATTGACCTGACCCTGTGTATAATCTGAATGTGCTCATCAAACAAAAACAACAAGCTTGCAACTGAATTTTTGGTTACAATTTTTCTGTTGTCCTATCAGTTACTGATATAAGTACCTGTAGTAATCACTCTCATATTTGAGGCTTAGCATCTCTACCTGCAGCATCATGCTGCCAATGCCAGCCTGCATTTCATCTCTTTCCACTCAAATCCTTTCATGAGACCCTTTCAAATGATAAGTTTTTCACGAATTCTGAGATCACTTACCTAATGAAGTCTGTTATTCTTTCTCTTTGCTTCATGCACAGCTTATGCCACATACACTTACTCTTGCTCCTTGCCCCTTTTTGCTTCCCTAAATTAATTGGGTAAGGGACTAACAACTACTCATGACTCATTTTCACCCTGTTTTTGGTGAATAAATTCTTATCTAAAGTAATATCTTCAAACTTTCATTCCTAGGCTGAATTTATGAATCTGATTCAAGGGCTACTTCAGTATCTCTTTTCCTCCAAATGAATTGGCTAAATATGGATAATCTCATCATTTTAAAGATTGCCAAAGTTGCATGTCCATCTTGTACAAAACTCACCACCATTTCTCTCCTGGCAGGTCTCCTTTTTGATTTGATTCCTCATTCCAAATCCAGGTATGCCTATTTCTTCTTATTACTTGCCGTTCCAAAGCTCTCCAAACAGCTATTTAATATAGAGCTGCCACTGTCTGGAACATTTATTTTCCCTGGAAAAGTTCAGTCAAAGCTTACACTAGCTTGTGAAACCTATCCCACATTTGATCAAAATGGCAGTAGCCCCTGCTCTCCTATCTTCATCTCCCCATGTGGTTCTATACAAGGGTGACCAAGAAATTTTATTCCAACCCTTTCATAAATAGATAATCGTACTTCATATTTCTGCTGTGGACCGCATCAATGTGCCTGCTAGGTTTTATTTCTTGGTGTGAGTATTTTATATCTTGTTTATCCTTTGTGTTTCCCTATGTTGAGTTGGCTTGTTTCTGTGCCTTCCTCTCCATTCTATACATAGATATCAACAGTAATTATTTGCAGCAAGTTCTTATTGTTATATATGTGGTCATCATATCTGTCCTTAATAAAGATTTGATTTGATAGCTAGCCTTTAGGCTTCTTTTTTTCATTTTCCATTTTCATAACCCTATCAAGTAACTCTCTGCATGAAGAAGTGGTGCAGGGTAGTGCTAACTTCACCTTCACCTGATCCCTTAATGGCAAGGAACCCATCTTTTGAGAACAACTCAACGCCTGAGTCAACTGAATCAGAAAAAAAACTTTGTCTTCTAACACCAGACACTAGACACCCTATCTTTTCATTAAAACTATTAGGCCATCAATCAATGCCCAGGACCAAGCTTACATGCATGAGGCCTACTGAAGTGCTTGGTTGGATGAGGATAGTGTATCTTCAGTGACTAGGAGGAGTTTTGCAGTGGGATGACAGTCATTCAGACGAGTCATTCACAAAAAGTTTCAAGGGGAACCAATGACCTAGAGAATACAGTGCAACTTGTAAGGACTCAGGAAATTATTTTTCAGATCCATCAGAATGTTAAGCCAGTTCCAGAAGAGAACCATTGAAGCAGAATGCTACAAATGTCAAAGTAGACTGTCATTATCAAATTTCTCAGGGTGAGTTTTGTGAATAATGTTCTCACATCCCCTTTCCTGCCAGATGCACTAAGATCATAGAAGGTACCAATCTAAGCCTTTCCAAAATCATACATGTCCAGAAATTTCCAGTAGGTACTAAAGCATGCTGTATATTTTAGCCTTTCTTTAAAACCAAATGGAGAATGTGAGGTGTTCCTAAGAACTGAATATAGAAACAATGAGCCAATTTTGATAATCTTTCAGCTGTTGAGCTAGACCCAAGCTAAAGTTACGAGAAGAGATGACAGAGAAAAGGGGAACATTGGGTGCAGTGGGTAAAAAGACTCATATGAGGGTGAAGATTTCCTATAAATATACAAAACTTCTTTGGCCTAAACCAAAATCTGATGAAAATATAAAGCCAGGTTTGAGGAGGCTGTCCCCTTCTCCCAACTGTTATTTCTTCCAGTGTTATGGCCATGGTGTCTGTAAAGTAAGTGATAGTGATGTCAAGACTACAAATAATAATACAGCCATATTTGCATGCAAAATCAATTATTTCATTGAGTTTCCATTAGGCCATTGGTCTCCAGCTGATGCCAGGGCTTTAAAGTTCAACACTGGTACATTCGCTGCATGAGACACACAATCTTGCTTATTCTCTGAAATGTCTTGGAAGAAGCCTTGATGCTATGGTAATAATTTTCACCTTGCATGAAGATTGGAACACCCAAAATTCAACAAGGTTTACCGTGAATTTTCAAAACCTCCAATTACTTTATGGACATCCAATGGAACTAGGCTAGCCTGAAGATGCCAAACTCAGAGGCACCTAACCTGAACTGTCACTTCTACAATACACAGTGATGCATAAATAAGTAGGTTTACATGCTCTGTGATGTTTTGTGATACATGTGCTCCTTGGGAATCATGCATTGTTTTCAACAGAAAGACAACATTGAAGTAGAGGGTAGTTGTTCACCCTATAACCACATGGTTTTGCCCTCCAGCTATTGAGGCAGCTGAGCAAACAGATGTCATAATGATATTGAACTATATTTGTCCTAGCACTTCAAGATGCAAGGCTAGGACCTATGCCTAATCTGTGGGACTACCATATAAACCTAGGTTGAGAGGCCTTGTGCTGAGTTGACAAACAGGCCTTATACCACAGTTGCTATGGAGGAAGAAGTGCCTCAAGTTCAGGATGTCCTAGCTGAGGCAAAACCACATCTCAGACAGAAGGATCCACAGTCAGGATCTGGAGTGATGTCACGAAAATTATGGCTTCGTCCTGTAGACTTACCTGAAGAGAATTGTGTTGTACTTATCACCTTTCCGAAAGGAACAGCTGAGGGATTTGTGGAGTGGCTAAGGCGAGCTGTCAGGGATGTGCATCCTGATTTGACCCTTCAACCAAAGCTCATGGCATCAGCAAAGTGCATGTCTCTGAAATGCTCTGCTCCTTTCACACTAATGCTAAAGGGTGCTGAGGAGCTGTGTCTTCCAAAGAAACTGAATGCTGAATGTGGAGGAGGTCAGTGGGAGTTTGTCATGAGTCATTCACATCTCTTTGATGGTATAGAGAATCCTGATACTTTCTTCACTTCAGAGGAGACAGGAAGCATAGTCCGTCATCTCTTGTACAGCGTCCAAGCCAGTGAGACTTCTCTGAAAGATCCTCCTGAATGCGTCTCAAGGCTTTCACTCTTTGTGGGAGAGCCTATACTTGCTAAATGTCTCTCAGAGGGACTAATTGACCAGATTTTTCCCCTGCATGAAGGGATAGCATTGAAAGCCCTATGCAAGAACTGGGTGAAAGCTTTTTTCCACCGTCAAATACTGCACGATGTGAAGGACTATTTTGGGGTCAAGATAGGATTCTATTTCAGATGGCTAGGACTCTATACAATGTTCCTATTGGGACCATCAATTGTTGGAACTATCTTATTGGTGATCGGGATGTGTGGCAAGGAAAATATGGTGGACATGGCATTTCTATTCTATGCACTATTCAATGTGATCTGGACAACTGTCTTCCTGGAAACATGGAAAAGAAAGTCAGCTGAACTGGCATTCAAGTGGGGAACCCTGGACCAGCGTTCTGGCAGACTCTGCCAACCTCGTCCACAATTCACAGGTGAAGTGAGGAGGAGTCCCATAACTGGCCAAAAGGAAAGATATTACCCTGCTTGGAAAAGGAATCTTATCAGATTTACTATCACTGGACCTATGATTGTAGCAGCTCTTGCCCTTAGTATTCTGACTAACTCTGCAATTTGTAAAATGGAAGAACATGTTGGATCCATTGAAGGGACCTGGGGACAATGGTTCCTGCACCATCTCCCAAAAGTTGGGTTAGGGATCCTCATTCCTGTCTATGATGCCCTTTACTACTACCTAGCCGTATGGCTCAATGACTTTGAAAATTACAGAACAGAGGAAAAGTATGAGAATCATCTCATCTTCAAGCTAGTAGTTTTTCAATTTGTGAACTCCTTCTCTTCTTTGTTCTATGTTGCTTTTTATCAGCAAGACCTTGGGAGCCTTCAGGCACACCTGGCTGCCTTGCTTATCACACGCCAAATTGTGGATAATGTGAAAGAATCAGCACTTCCATATTTCCTTGGGCAGTTTAAACTGTCAAGACTACACCTTAGCCTCAAAGCCTTAGGATCACCGAGCCCATCAAAAGAGAAAAAAAATATTCTTCAGGAAAATGAAAGCAGGATACAAGCTACAGGAACTGAGAAGTCTTCTGAGGATGGAACAGCACAACCCAATAAACCTCCATCTGGCAAAGCCTTGAGTAATGCAGAGCTGGAAAGCAGCATGACACCATATCCAGGCACGTTTGACGACTATTTGGAGATGTTCATCCAGTTTGGATATGTCACTCTCTTCTCAGCTGCATTTCCTCTGGCTGGCCTCTGTGCTTTCCTCAACAATATTGTTGAAATTCGATCTGATGCCTTCAAGCTGTGCTACATCATCCAGAGACCCTTTGGAGAGCGTGTTCGAAATATTGGCACATGGCAGGATTGCATGGAACTTATGGGTCTTGTTGCCATAGTAGTGAATGTGACTCTCATAGGTCAAATGGGCCCTCTTCATCGTCTTGCCCCATCTCTTTCTCAGCATCATGCATTATTGGCTGTTGTGGTTTTTGAGCATCTGTTACTTGGATTGAGATGGTTCCTGGTCAGGGCAATCCCAGATGTCCCTTCCTGGGTGAAAGATGAAATGGCACGATTAGAATTCCACAGGAGAGAGGCATTTAACCGTCAATCATTGTTAGAAGAAGATAAAATATTAGTTTCCTCTATCCCAGGGAAGCACCTTGGCATCCAGAACCCTGACTCAGAAGACACTTCTTCCCTACCCCATCCTTCAGGAAAAGGAAACAATCTCAATTAAGCTGTATAGCATAAAGCTGAAAACAGATGTTTACTTCATTATTCGTCTATTCCAGTTGTTTCTGATCAACTTTCTATTTAAGTAGCATAATTCTAAATGAATGGCTATTTCTTATCAGATTAGTTGCTCCCTAGCTTGAGAATCAAGTGAGTTGATGTTCAATGGCAGCCTCTGCTTACATGCCAGCATTAAATGACATGGTATATGCCAAACTATTTTATCCATTGCAAGTGTGTCACTGTCAACTGTCAGTCTCCATCCTAGGTAACCTTGTCTGGTTGCTGTGCCAAATTGTCTTCATTAATAGTACCAAGTTTTCACTTGCAATGTCCCAATGAGTAATTGCTATGGCAGAAATTGACTTACTGCTGATCTTGCCATATGTCAACTATGCTTATGATGTGATTCACTCATCCTCTTATCATATTGTTCTCCTGTGACTGCAAGCTTTATGATCTCATAGAATCAACTTTAGACAGCTGGTCTCCATAGAGGCTTTAAAATATTTGCAGATCAATGTGATGTCTGGCAGCTTAGTGGAGACATTTTAATTTGATTCTGGTATTCTGTTTAGTTTTTCTCCTCACTGATGACTTACTGTGAAATGCACAATGGCTTGTTGTTTGCTTGTTTTTATTGGTATTCCCTCTAGATATTTAAAATAAATTTTCAGATGTATGTTTTATGTTCCCTTCTCAAGTATGGCTGCATGATGTGGACACCAGATTGTTTGCAGGGTATTGATGATCTAAGGAATATGTAAAACCATTTCAACCTCTTGCTTTGTCCCTTAAAATAACTCCAAGGTTTGACTACTCCTACTAAAATCGAAATCTCTTGAATTACACTGGCCAAACTGGAGTTTTTTGTCTTGTACTTTGTTTTTTTGCTTGAATAATCTCAGCATTCTGTTTCATTCAATTTTCTTCTTAAATTTGCCAATAATCTTCATGCCTAAAACAGTCACTCATTTGAAAGCTTGAGATCTTTTTCCACAATATTGTGAATATATGTAGGAAGGCATTTATTTTCCTGCTGCATTTTAATTGTGTGATATTCTGTGACCTAGTACATTTAGTTCATGATGACAGAAAGGACTTATTTTTCCTACTGTTTTACACTGTGTAATCTCCTCTGTCATATAACACTATTCAATGTTCCCCACCCAAGTGCTTTCTAAAAAAAAAAAAAAAGGTTATGGTTGAATTTTCAGTTTCATAAAGGATTTTTATTGTGGAGTGCCCCTTGTCTTTCACTTTGTTTGTGTCTGTAATGTAGGTGCCTTTTCCACATGCTTCTCTTTGTTAGCCGTTAGGAGAGAATAGAGTGATGTTATCCATCATCCTGCCTTTAGTGAATAAATTCATTCATATTTGTTAAGCATTTATGATTGAGTTTGTGGAACTGACTAGCAGAAGGAGCGAAAGATATCACACTCACATGATCATTGGGGTCTTGCAATGGGCCATCGTCACCAAGTGGTGACCCAGAAATCATTAATGATATGATGATTTCCATCTCTATTTGGGATGCTGGGTTGATTCTTATATATCCATCTTCTACCTTCTATGGTTTATCCTCTTCTCTTTGTTGTGTTATACGATGTGCCTTTGTTCAGACCTCCATGAAACCATAATCTTCTTTTAGGGCTTCTTTCTGTGATGTGGTGCTTTAGCATAACAGAAGTATAACTTCCAAGGTAAAGATGTGCATTAATAAATCCAAAGCCAAAGTGCTGAGCATATACCAGAGCCTTTTTATGTATGCACTTCATGATAACTCTTGATCAATATTAACAAATTCCAAATTCAGCTATCATGACATGCCCCTGTAGTCTTCATACATTGTCCTAATGTCCTTATGATGCTGAAAAATACATTGATTGCTCAAGCCATCCTGTGTTTGCAAGAGAAAAGTTTCTTAGTGTATGAGGAAATGTTGAGGAGCAAATGGGAATCTCTTTTGCTCCTTTTGCAGATATTGCATCCAAGATTTTTGTGCCCGTATAATTTTTCTTCATTTCTTTTGGGTTATTTCTCTCATTTGTTTTAAGAATTTTGGAAATTTACTTGACATCGATGGCTACCTGGTAACATTTAAAGCTCCCCATTCCAAATGAGGTAGAGGTCACTTTCAATTTGGGAATCCATTCCTGGTAGCTGTGGAAAATGGCATGTCAATATACACAGAAGGTACAAGTAATTTTGGTTTTTTATGAAGAAAAAGCATCAATTTGTATCAATATTAATTTTTCATTGGTCATTGGGCAAAAGTGAATTTTTACCAGGATGAATGGCTCCAGCTTCTTCCCATGATCCATAGAGACCCTTCATTCTCCTTTCATCTGTAAGAAACTGTTTCTGTCTCCACCATTGCCAAAAATAACCCACTTGCAAAAGTAATAATGATTCTCAAAATTTCAGGATTCCTGGTGGTTTTGATTTAGAAAGAAATGTGAATTGGGTTCTGGTGGAGTAAGTCAATTTACCAAATTTATGTCATGATGTGGATTCCTACACAAATTAAGTTTGTGGCTACCACTGACTGTTTTGTCAACTTCCCTGCTGCCATTGCCTCTCCTGATCATCGAAGACCCTTGCAAGTTATCTGCCTTAGAACATCCAATGGTGAACTGAAGTACATGTCAGGCAATCCAGTGCAACACCCATTTTTGGAGATTGGATGGGGATTTGCTCAGGCACTTGGGCTACAAGAGGATGAGGTGGTGGATGTCTCCTTGTGGAGTAATTGCATACCTTGCACCTCTGTTCAATTGGTCACACAATCATGTGATGACTGGTCACTCCTTGACATTCATGCTCGAGAGATTGAAGAGACACTCATACATTCTATTCGTGTTCTTTTCCCCAGAATGATCATTCCTGTCTGGATACCTCATTCTCGACTTCCTGTGTTTGTCACATGTCACAGCTACGAACCAGAGAGTGATGCAGTAATGTTGATTGAAGGAAGTTGCATCTCTGTTTCACTTCCACTCCAGGAGCAAGCATCTCATGGTAAAAAGAGCACAAAGAGGCAGGTGAAAGACATATGCAGGTACTCTGTGTCAAGGAAACTCGTTTTGCACCTTGTGATCTGTGATGAAGTGGCTGAAAGTAATTACCATGGGAACACTTGGTTTGTGCCTCCTCACACATGGGAACATTTGTTTGGTGATGATGGCAGTACAGACAACCAGAATGATATCAGGTTATATGCCAATGCATCACGTGTTAATATTCCCCCTGAGAAGACCACCAAGGACCATAGCTCTGTTATTCATCTCAAATTGGGTGAATTCCCTCTTCCATTCCCAATGCATTGTGCAATGGTTTCTAAGGAAGTTGCAGAGTCTTTCAGTGGGGTGGCATTTGTGAGTCCAGTTAATCTGACTCCAGGCACATCCAGCACTCTTACTGCGTTTATAAGAAGTCCTTTGGAAGCAGTTGAAAAGATAGAAAATACTGTCCGGCAATGGATGGAAAATGTATTGGTGAGGAATGATGGGTCTGTTGACATACTAGATGGGACAGTGATTCTCTTGAAGGAAGGGAAAGTACGATTGTCAACTCCATCCCCTGTGTATTCACTTAGTCCTCAAACTCTTAACAGGTTAGAGATTAAGGTGGAGGTAGAGGAGACAATTGGTGACAGTGATAGTGAAAAGATGAAGTTATCGTATTTGAGTGTCAATGAAGCCATTGTGGGTCAGTTTGTGCAAGTCATTCTCAGAGGACTTTCTTTGTGTGCTTCCAAGGGCTACATGATGAATCTCCTCATTGAGGGCCCATCAGGGAGTGGTCGAACTCATCTTGCAACTACTATATGCCAGAAACTTCAGGATCACCCCTTGAATGTCAAGTCATTCCACTTAAGATGCAAATCATTGATTGAAAAAAAGTGGGACAGTGTGAGACGACAATTCTCTGGGTTAAAGGCAACTGCATTGTTGCATTCACCATCAGTAATAGTTTTGGATGATGTGGACTGCATTGCAAGTACCTTTGTCAACCCAGAGGCAGATCCTCAGGCAGAAGTGCATGACAGGGTAGCTAGGTGTCTCCTTGATGAATTTTCTACCATCCCAAAATGGAGACCCATAGCTCTTATCTTCATATGTCAATCAGTATCTGCTTTACATAAAGACATCCAAAATATCCCTTTCATACACTCAGTGAAGATCACAAACCCGTCTTATGGAGACAGGGTTTCTCTTCTCACAGCATTATGCCCTGAAGGATTGGATGTTTCAGAAGTTGCCCAGAAGACAGAAAGTTTCCTTCCAGTTGACCTCGAAGCACTGGTTGTTAAAGCGAGGTATATTGCTGCCACTTCTGGCTCTGAACTCACTCAGGCTCACCTCATTGTAGCTTGCCAAGAAGTATCCACAGCATTGAAGAATGTGATGACACTTGATGAAAAAGGAATTACTTCCTTTGATGATGTTGGTGGCCTGAGAGATGTAAAAGACACTCTGATGTGCAAGTTCTTGTGGCCCCTACAGTACAAAGATATCTACAAACAAGCTCCTATCAAGCTCACTTGCAATGCCTTATTATATGGGCCTCCTGGCTGTGGGAAGACACTCCTTGTTCTGGCTTTGGCAAAGGAGGCCAATGTCAGTTTCATATCTGTCAAGGGTCCTGAACTCCTCTCAAAATACATTGGTGCAAGTGAGGAGGCTGTGAGGAATGTCTTTGAACGTGCATCTCGAGCCCGTCCTTGCATCTTGTTTTTTGATGAAATTGATAGCTTGGCACCACGAAGAGGACAGGAGAGCACGGGTGTCACAGATAGAGTTGTGAATCAACTGCTCACCCAGATTGATGGGATAGGATCTCAGTCTGGGCAAGATGGGATGCTTGTTCTTGCAGCAACTAACAGACCAGATCTCCTTGACCCAGCTCTTCTCAGACCAGGTCGCATCAACCACAAGCTGTTCTGTCCGTTCCCAGGTTTGGAGGACCGAGTGGATATCCTACGAATTCTCTGCAATTCTGTCATGACAGATGAGCTCGACCTTGTGGACATAGGGAAGGAGTGTGAGGGCTTCACAGGAGCTGATCTGAAAGCCCTGCTCTACAATGCTCAGTTGAGTGCTTTCAATCGAATCCTATCATCACAGGGGAAAGTGGATCCTGAAAGCATGATAGTCACTGGCAGTGATATCCAGGATGCATTACTGAAAACAAAGCCCTCCCTCTCTCTAGATCAGAGAGAATGGTATTCCTTGCTGTATGAGAAGTTTCAATTCCATAAACTCACTGCTGGAGTTTCATCCAGATTGACCTTGGCTTAGACTACCTCAATACCTATAATTCATTGTTTTGTCAGTCCAAGAACAGATGCACAATAAGACAATGACTTTTCACTCAGGAGCTTGTATGATGCTATTTAGAAATGTCAAACAATTTTTCATGCAAGGATGAGGAACTTTGACGGGCATATTTTATGAGGGACTGTGATTTTAAAATATAAGCAATAAAGAACTTATCAAATTCTAATATTTGTCTTTATTATTAATTCATATAACTACTACCATCTGTATCAGATAGGTAGGATCTTCCTTGCTAACATCATAGATGTCTTGGGAAAAGACAATGATGACAATGAAGCTGTTTGTTGGGGAGAAATGCAGAGGGCATTCTCTACCAAAAGAATCATGCTGTCATATAGTACAGGATGTTATGAATGCATGCCAGGTTCATCTGCACATGGTTCCCTTGGCTCATGCTGGCTGGGTGAAGTGTGACAACCACAATTATCTACCAAGACTTACATACATGTACTCGTTGAGAGTTAGTGACACCTAGACTGTTCTTCATTCCATGAGATTGAGCCCTAGTCAAACTAGAAAAATGCAACATGTGCATGGAAAAAATGACAACAAAAAGTTTCAGAAGGCCATGTATCAAAGAAATGTTTTCAATGCTGCTTCTACCTGGCATCCTTGCTCCTAAAAAACCTCAGACACTTGCCATACTGAAGATAAATAGGCCATACTCCAAAAGTAGGTTCATACACATCACTCAAGCATGTATTCATGTCAATCAACATCTCTCTAAATCATGCTATTTCAGCACTGGGCAATTATATTCACTTTCGCAGACAAATGGCAATTCACATGGCAACAACAAAGGATGGATTCTAAATGCATTCTAATACCCATAATTTAAAACATCCATATCCTGATGTCAATTGCAGCTATCTTAGTTCAACCATTTCAGCATGAGGCAGAGACATGTTCACTTGCCAGAAAACAGCAATGCTTGAAATGTCAACATAAATGGGGGTATTCAAGGAGCAGGCTTCTAACCACCACCCAAACATTCATGCCCATTTTCACTACAACCATTTTTGGTTTGGGTGATGACATGCACAAACCAATGTACATATATATGAGCTCCACCAGTGACATTCCTGAAACCTGAATAAGTGTGATGCCTGCTCTTCCCATGATTGCTCATCACCAATTACATGATGGCAGCATATTCAGTTCATTAATGCTTAGATTGTCCCCCTTGCAGCAATTGGTAATGATGAATCAAAGTGAAGAAGGGACTGTACCAGTTAATGAAGGCTGAGGGAGTTATTTTGAAAGGATATTATAAATGTGAACTAAGTGCTAATAACCATAATAAACAGATGAAATTTAAGTAATCCATCTCCACAGTACTGATGATGTTCTTCCTTCTCTTCAAATGACTCCCCATATATGGGGAGAAGATCAGATTGCAAATGTTTTGGGAAGTAGCATCAAACCTAATCAACCTAATGCATTGCCATGATTAACCTTTGGCAATACAAGCATAATTTCATTATAGTTCAAAATTCTTTGCTTTGATTGTCCTGAATTCTATAAATGCCAAACAAGACAACTTTAAAGGTCACAAGATTGATCCACATCAGCCGGCAAAGCATTCTGCAATGTAGAAATGTTTCCTTCTTGTGTAACATGCATAACCATTGCAGTTTCTGACATGACTATATCAGCTTAAATATTTACCCAAGATGTTGTAACCTCATTCAAGTAAAAACATTTGAATGTCTCTTCAAAATATGAATTTTGAAGCCTTTGAATTGATATGTTCTGCACTTCATCAATGAATTCATCACAGCTTAAAGTAACCATGGCTTCCATAATTAGTGAGACATATCTGGTACCAACAATCAATTATTGGTGCCAGTATTGTCATATTAAATAAAATAAGGTAGTGATTGTGGTTTTCTGCCTTCATACAAAAATGGATTTGCTCACATGTTTAGTTTGACCACATAAAAAATATTGCACACACTCAATGATCACAGAAAGGAAACATAAATGACAAGAAGATTAATAGAATTTCAAAACTGTAAGGAATCTGAGTTTCTCCTTTAACATGATCTGGATGGTCATTCAGATAAGTATAGCAATGGAAGAGATGCATCAGTATTCATACCTGCTACTGAGTATCAACAGATGTTTTTGCCTGTCTGACTGCATTGGAAGACCATATTGTGACTGTACAAGCCTTCCAAGGTTTTGACTAGAAGACTGAACAGCACATTGGAATTTATGATCAATTAATTAATTTTCACAAGACTGCCAATGGCATGAGCTACGAATGATTGTGAAAAGAAACTTCACAGAACCTGCATTTTTTCATCTGCAGTAACTAATTACATTCAAACAGGCAAGAACACCATCAAGATTGGTAACAGAATACTGATGGAAACGCCTCTAATTATTACTGTGACCATTCAAGGCAATACCTGCATCAATATTGTGACAAATGAAGGAGACATGATAAAGCAAAGAAAAATGCAGCAAATGCTGTATCATTTCAGCCTTTGATTGCAGAAATGAACCATAGTACAGTCTTTACAAAAGCAACCCTCACACAATTCTACTGTCTACTTCTTGTCTCATTCTTCACTCTGATATCATTACCTGCTTCTTTTCCAATCCAAGCAATTTGGAAGTTTTTGCAGACTGCAATTAATTTTTTTATTCAAAGTATCTGTGTTCAGACTGATGCCAACAATCCAAGAGGAAGTTACTAGGAAATTTCTATTGTAGAGACCAGCACACCTTGTCAATTTGAGTCAGTCTTGTCTGTCCATGTATATGGACTCCTACAAAACCAAGACAAAGGTGAGGTTCTGCATCATTCCAACATTATCCCTGCAAGATTCTAGTTTCATCAGCAGAGTGAAGAAAGACAGAATGAGCAGAACCCTGAGTTCCTATGCAGTCCAGCTGCATAAAAATGGAAGACCTGTGTTGAGCATGATAGAGGGATATGGCCATCACTCATCTGGAAGGACCTTGTATGGATTGAGGATCCCCTTTGGATCAAAGACATCTTTGATCATTTTCTCCAACTTCAGTTCAACAGGTCCTTTAGAATAGTGACTCAGGTTCCGAAATTTGAAGCCACACCCAAGTTCTGATGATATTGCACCATTATACTTTGCCACAAAACTGTACACAAGGTCTTTTATCTCTGCAGACTGATGAGAGTTATATTGTCTTGCAACAATGCTCAAGTCCAGATTCCCATCCAGCAAGTGTCCATAGCCAACAACCTGAAAAAGATATTTCTATTATGAAAACCAGTGAGCTTTTTTTGGAAGGCAAGAAAAATCCATCAAGAAATTACACTTAAATATGGAAAAATGATCATAAGGCTCTTCACACATCTGTTCAGTATTTCCTCAGCACAGAATATTTGCACCATTGAAGGGCCTACTGACACTTTTCCATCATTTCAAAATATAATTAGTATGCACAAGTCAGCAGTGATTTTAGCTGGAGAAACAAACTTCTAATAAAGATGCCAGACCTTCAGGACCACCCACAATATAAATTGCAAAAGCCCTGAAAAAGAATGCCCTTTAGTTCTTGATGGGTCATGGGTGGGGATGAGGGGACACATCCTATATACCCCTACATGAGCCAAATCAGATACAGCCAACAGCCAAAATATAGACCACCATGTGATATTTCAAGCAGCTCCACATTTTGCTGAAAGTAATTGTGCTTGAAAAGAACTTGAGTGATAAAAAATTCAAACCCCTAGTTCCCTTGCATAAAAGTGTTTCAAACAAACTCTAGAACAGTTATAGACTGTCAAGGCCCTCTTTACCTTACCATTAATGTCAAGCTGAGAAAATGCAAGTTGCATTTGCTGGTTACCTGATAAAAAGACCTTGAAAAAAGGCCTTTAAATTGTGTAACATTGGGTAACCTACATAGGGTATTTTCTCACATTTAATGAACCTAATCAGTTACCCTTAGTCCCTGTTATACAGTTCTAAAGATGAATTCACAACCCATCATCCAAAAAATTAGCACACCATGAGGCAGTTCCACATTTGGCTCAATGGAAGGGTTTTCTTTACAAACATGCCCAGACAAACATGTTTAAAACAATTGTTTGAGGTTATTAAGGGAATTCATTATACAGGGTGGCACAAAAGTCACACACCATAGGGTAAATTAGAACAAATATTAAAATTGTTTGCCATTAACTTGACAGCACTTCGATTCGTTGTACACAATGTTTGAGCATATCTTAACTCCACCCTCCTGTCTTTTGTTAATTTTGCTGCCATCAGTTACTTTAAAATGACGAAACTAGAATTAATATAGTGAAATGGTGAAATCCTCTATGGTGCACAACTTTTGCACCACCCTGTATATTTCTGCCAGATATCAAAGGAGACAAGATCCATCTGAGACAAATTTCTGGTTGGATTCTAGAAACCCCCTACCTGCTCAATGGTGTCACCAAGTTCCTTTCTCAAATACTCGACACATTCATAGATCTTGTGATGAGGCAGGGAAACATCAAACTGATGAACATATCCACTGGTCACCAATGAAATGAGGATGCTATTGTAGATACCCCATAGTTTCTGAAAGTGGACCAAGGTTAAGTTCAAAGGCTGGTTGAATATCAAAGTAAAATGTCATTAGTTTAAGAAAGCAATGGACACAAATGTGGACCTCAATATGGTCAGGTGCAGTGGCAATGGTCCCATCCACAATCACATTTTGTTCCTTGACCCTCTCCATGAAAGTCTCAAGTTTATCCTCATCATGGGCATGAGTTGTCCCACATGTCTCGATCATCACAGTGAATGGGTGATTTGGTATCCCCCAAAGTGACAGGAAACTCTTCTTCAGCGAATTCACTGCCACCTATTCTCAAAAATGTAAACATTCAACTACACAGTAAATACCCATAAATTCTGAGCCACAAAATAATATATTGTACAAATCTGCACTAATGTAAAACACCCACATAACCCTATTGCTGCTTTTGAGGTGAGTGGAACTACAAACCTTTAAAAGTGCACACTTTGGCAGCAAGAAAGACCTCAACTCAAAAGTCCTGGAAATTCCTTATGGTATAAGAGATATAGGCCCAATGCATACATACATTTTCCTCTTTACTTGTGCATTACTTTATACATGAAAAAATTTCAGTTAGATATTGTTCAGATTTACCAAGTTCATTTCACCATATTTGTAGTTATGGTAGACTAATGGTGCATCTCCCTCATCTATAGTGCTCAATTTCCTCACAAGCAGATATACAACCCCATCCTAGATACTCATGTAATGTTTCTCTCCATTAATGTATCAAAACTGCACCATGGCTTCAATAGTACATGAAGAGTCCACCAGAACTTGCAAGATAATTGAATTTCTGTCTCTGAAATGCTTTGACCAAAGTCTAAGGCATTTTCTTGAAATTCATTCCTTTACTTTGTACTGATGGTGCATAAACACAAGGTTTAAAGAGAGAGATTGGAGCATGAAAGGTCAGACCAAAGTTTGATGTTCTCATGAATGCTGGTTATAAAACAGTGGAACACTGTTTTATAACCAGTTTTACAACCAGAGACTTCAATCCAGTCACCTCATTTTCTTTAGCCAAAATAGAACTAATCTAAAGAAAAAGAGAAGACAGGATTGAAGACATAACACATAGATGACACAAGGCAACAGGCTTTTCTCATTATAGCATGCAAAGAGGAAAGTAGTACCTTCCCCCTTTGAACACTGGCACACCAAAATTGGAATTGCACTCTATGTATAAGCACTACAACTGGTTCATAGTCTCACAGGCAGGTATGCTACTCTGTGGTCCTGTAGGGTGTCCCAAGGGCACCTCATAGACTGCTGGGCTCATTACTGGAAAAATTAATTCATAAAGATTGCTGCATAGTTCCTATATGTGGGATACAGAGTAACATGTTATCCCAATACAAAGTAGATACTCCCCAGAAAACAGTCAAGTCACCTGTAGGCAAAGAAAGAGCCTGCCACAACCTAGACTTGATTCCCTACCTCCTGAATTTAACTCCATAGCCCACCACACTTGGCTGCCATACCTGGTCCCTCTATTCTGTTGTCAGTGTCAATGTCT